CTAAGATCGATCTTATCAAATTTATGTACTGTAATATTGAGATGTTTGGATTATCTTCCTGCAGTTACTGACGCTTACAGTCTTGATAATATTCATTGCGTTTTCTGTTCTTCGTAATATATAATTTGTGTATTCTTTCCAATTTAATTTTGAGTCCAAGAATACGCCAAGAACTTTTATTGAAATTTATTATGAATTTTATAATTATCAAATTGTAGGTGGTTTGGAGGACAATATCGTTTTCTGGTGAAAGTAACAATGGTTGATTTACTCTCCAAGATTGTTAAATCCTTATGCGTCGTCCATTTTTTTATAATATTCAATCCTGATTTAAGGTACTCATATTTATCTATTGACTTATTTTCTACATAGATTGCAACATCATCAGCATACTGTAAGATTTTATATTTTGAGGAAGATTATTTTCTAAGTCAGCAGTATACAGAATATATAATGGATTACTCAAGATGCTACCTTGTGGTAGTCCCAAAGATGTGTACCGTGTGTTAAATTTATCAGCATTTAATCTAACGTGTAGTGATCGATTAATATACAAGTTAATGATGTTCCATGTTACAGTTTCAGGTATTCCTATTTCCAACCTTTTAGCACCTAGGATGTGGAGATTAACATTGTCATAAGCCCATTTTATATCTCTTTTGTGTACTTTTTACATTTATCTATCAAAGAGCTAACTGCTTTCTTATAAGTAAAGGAAAATAAGTAAACACATAATTAAAAACAATACAAAACATTAAATGGAGTCTTACAAACGAACACCTAATATATCAATATATTCTAAAACATTTTCGGTCGCATTCAGGAATTCCATCTTAGTTTTTCTTGTTGTTCTGCATCACCTACATATACTACATGCATATGAGGGTAATATGATATTACCCCCTTATCTCTTCACATTTTTTGTTTGAATCAATTTATGCTTTTGCCCAGTTTCTGGTAAAAATTTTCTTGTCTCCGTTGTCTTAGTTATTGTAGTTCTCTGTTCATGTTTTCTCTTTTTCTGTGGCGGATTTTCTTTTTTACATAGTTATTTAGATTTCTCATCGGCTTGTCGTGCTCTGTGTCCCTGTTACATAAGTGAATAATCTCTTTTTTCTTTCTGTTATAATCTGACATTCTTTGTCAAACCACTCATTCGTTCTTTGTTTACCTTCCAGCCTAGTAATTCTTCAGCTTTCTTAACCTTTCCTCTCTTCATTCTCGTTTTCATGATTTTATTCATTATTTTTGTTTATATCTTTGAGTCCTTCAACATTTTATCGTTCATGGTTAGAACCTATTTCCTTTTTTTATGTTTAAAATTCTGGCCCTTACCCTACTTTCGACCCGGCAGTAATCAGAATCCGCATTTGCTCCTCTCCTGGTGAAGCCGTTTATTATATTCGATTGGTATCTTTGAGTCTACAATAACATGATCTATCATATTTACTGTAGGTACGTCTGGTGATTTCCAGGTGCCTTTATGTATATATTTTCAAACGAAGTTAAAATTATATCAAAGAATATAGACGCTTAAGCGTCTATATTCTTTGATTATATCATCGATTCCAATCCCAATCATTCCAAAGAAAAACTGTTATGAAAAAAACAAGACATTTTTGAAATCCGAGCATCAAAAATATTTAAAATTCGTTATTTCTCAAGCACAACTTTTTTTCATTTTGTTGGGCTGTGTTATCATTCGTGTTCCATATCATGCAAGTGACGCGTTTATTTTGTATTCCAGTTCTTCCTTTAATGGAAGTTTCAGTTTTTTATTGACGCTTGTAAAATGAAAGTATTTACTTCATATTGTTCTGAAGCTATTTTCTTGTGGTATTTTAAATTAATTACTATTTAACTGGGAATAAGCCACAACTAAAGATAAAAATACGTTTATTGACGTTTCAATTTCCACTTCGGAAATTGTTATCAAAATACAAACAGTAAATTAAAGAAATTTTGTTTTTTGTTACATAGTGAAAAAAAAAGAGTTGCGTTCCTGGGACGACTTTACTTATAAGATAGTTCATTCGATTACATGAAATCAACTTTAACTTGAGAATATCTGTCAGAAAAAAAATCATAGCATGTATTTCGTCTTTAAAAAGACAAACACATGACATGATGACAGTAAAATTCTCCTCCTTCATAGTAAATTATGAGGGAAAAACCAGGAAAAAAAACCTCATAATATTATCCCGACATGGTAAGTATTTGTTCGTGCATTTAGTTTACCTTCAATAAACACAAAAATTCTGATTTTATATGTTTCGTTATTTAAAAAACATAAATGATGTATCCTCTATATGTTACTGACTTAATACTGGTATTTTCTTATTAATAACTTGCTCTTTCAATATTGGTAACCAGATCCTACAACATTCTAACGAGGAATTTGCGACACAATTGGCCTCATTTAGCATAATTAGAGCCCCTTCTTTGATTTTTCTTTTTTTACCGTCCGTTTCTTTTAGGACTACATTTGAATTATTCCATTGAACCCTATGTTCATTATCCCATGGGAGTTTACATATTTGAGATCTATCAAATTCTCTATTTTTAATATAAGATTGATGTTAACTTATTCTAACATTTAATGGCCTTGATGTTTCACCTAAATAAAACTGATCGCATTCACAAGGTATTTTTATAAATGCAATTCTTTGTCCTTTCTTGTTCATTGTTAGGTTTGGTTTTGGACAAAATAGATCTCAACGTGTTGGTTGTTTTGAATGTTGTTGAGATGTTGAATTTATTTCCTATCCTTTTAAGTTTTCTGATAATCCTTTTCGAAGGTTCCACATCCGCAGAATTAGAAATTAGGAGGGGAGTTAGACAAGGATGTGTTCTGTCGCCTCTGCTGTTTAATCTTTACTCCGAGTTTCTATTTAAAGAAGCATTGGAGGATTCCAAGGATGGAGTCAAGGTGAATGGCGTAAATATCAACAGTATCAGATACGCCGATGATACAGTGTTAATTGCGGATTCCGACTCAGGTCTACAACGATTCATCGACAAGACCAACTCGACCTGCGAGCAATTTGGTATGAAAATAAACATTAAAAAAACCAAAGTGGTGTCAATCCGAAAAAACCAAAACGTACCTCAACCTTGCACAATAAATGGGCAAATCTTAGAACAGGTCAATAGATTTAAGTACCTGGGATGTTGGACCGATAGCAGCCTAAATCCTGATCAAGAAATAAGATCGAGAATAGAACAGGCCAGAAAATCTTTCGAAAAAATAAAAAACTGCTTTGTGATTCTCGAATAAAACTCGAAATTCGACTACGTTTATCAAAATGCTACGTTTGGTCGACTCTTCTATATGCAGTTGAAACGTGGACCGTTAAAACATCAACCGTAAATAAATTGGAGGCCTTGTGAAATGTTAATCTTCCGGAGAATACTCAAAATTTCATGGACATCGCATACCTCAAAACGAAGAAGTGGTGCATAGAATAGGCAAAGAAAGAGAATTTCTTAACGCAGTAAAAGTTAGAAAAACATCATACCTAGGCCACATACTGAGAAATAATAAGTACCAATATGCCCAACTTATAGTGAAAGGAAAAATCGAGGGAAAGAGAGGCCTAGGAAGGAAAAGACTATCGTGGCTCAGAAACATCCGACAATGGACAGGGCTAAATTTTGAACAGCTAATAAGAACAGCTGAAGATAGAGAAGAGTTTAAAATTGTAGTAGCCAACCTCCATTGAGGAGAAGGCACTTTAAGAAGAAGAAGATAATCCTTTTATGTACGGTATTGTTATTTTCCTCGTATTATTCCTTATGTATGCTGTAGGATCTAGTTCTAAGTTGTTCTGTTCTATTCGATCGATTGTTGAAAATTCCTTATTTATAAACGATAAAGGATAATCATTTTTTAATAAAACAGATGTTAACAAATGTTTCTCCTCCAAGAACGAATTTTCGTTAGAACAAGTAATTTTGGCACTATCGTATAAGGATTTAATTATTCCCTTTTTTACATTAATATTGTGATTTGATTTGAAATTTAAATATCTATTGGTGTGTGTTGGTTTTCTATACACCTGAGTCTCATATCCAGTATCGTTGTTAGAGATTACAACATCCAGGAAAGGTAGCGTGTTATTATATTCCTTTTTCATGGTAAATGATATTGTCTCTTCTTTATCGTTTATATCATTTAGGAATGTGTCCTATCATAGTATTTACTTCGTTGCGTAGTCGTAGCAATTGTTGATTTAGTTGCTGATTCAGCTGTTCATTCATTTGTTGTGTCTTTTTTTGCCGTGTAAACACATTTCGACTACAATATCAGTACATTGAATAATTCCGCTATTGAATAACTGTAATTTTGACACTCTGGAGAATTAAACTTTTCTCCGAAATAAACTTGAATCTTGATAATTGCCTTTGGTTTTGTTTATTGCTGAATACGTAGGATCAATTGCGAGCAGGATTATATTTTAAAAAATATGATTCATGTAATGTATGACTCTGTACATACTATGAATGTATTTACTATAGACTAAATAATTGAATATCCTTCTGCAATAAAAAGAATATACTAACTTAAGTGTTTTACATCTTTAGGTATATAATCGACTGCCGCTCCTCCGTTAGCGGATTATTCGCGACTCTATAGAACTCCATTTCTAATGTGGACTCATTTGATAAACCAATTATAATGTATTATTTTTATTATTACAAGCAGCAATAATATAATATATTGTTAAAATGTAAAGTGACATGCAACGGAACATTTTTTTCCAAACTACTTTCGACCAGTTTCGACGCGTGACTTCAGATAACTAATTTTGATATTTGTTTGCTAGAGTATAGACATTATTCACTACTAAAAGGCCAAATTTACACATTTATTTTTTTAAGATACTAATATATAAATACACAGTGAACAGTCCGCTAAGGCCACACCACATATTATGAACCCAATAACTACCAAATACGCTAACCGATTTGCATTTGCTATAAAGACACGAAAAACACACCTTAGGTACTCTTCGTGTTGAGCTACTATCGAAGGATGAGGAGGGAACCTATCCCTTTCTAGCAGCATCTGTCGCTGTAACTGTTCATGGGCGGCTGCCTGAATATAGTAAATTATTTTTTAGTACTATAATAAATTGCAATGGTTGTCATAGTTCTTGAAATATTGCAACGACTGATATTTTTTCGTATAAAACAATATAAGTGAATACAAAATAGTTGAAATTAACATGAATATTGTTTCTAGAGTTTTTAAAATAAACCACCGCATCATTTTGATAAAAACAAGACTAACGTAGCTTAGTTGCTGTTGTGAAACCATTAGTAATCTTTACAGTATTTATAAATAAAAATTGCCATTTACCTTTGTATTTGACTGATTTATTAAAAACCACATCAACTTTGTTATGTCTATTGTTCCCTAATATTAATATTGTATAACTTACATTACTGTGATGTAACTTACAGTATTAAAAAACATAAAAATATTTGAACCAGGATAACCAAGTTAATTTGTTGTGGATTCTGCGTCATAGGTATAGAAATAAATGATAAGATATAAAAAGAGATGGAAATATTCAAGAATTTCAGAATAATATCTTTCTAGGATCGTCTATAGCAATTTGTTGAATCAAATAGAAAGTAAAACTAATAATCATAATTGGCTCGACAATCCTTTGTGGATCTTGACTTGCTCTCAGATAAGTCGCCACTACCGTCGATTCCTAGCAACTTCCCTCCATATTCTGACCCTTAGAATGTTAAGGTCTTTTACAGTTCTACATCATCAACCCATCTTCTACACGGTCGTCCTCTACTGTCCTTTGTGTTTTAGAATGTCAATATCTCCGTGTACTCATCATCTTAGCCTTTGTACTTGATTATATTTCACTATATCTGCATTTATGTATAGCTGGTATAATTCAAAGTTATATCTTCAACGCCATGGCCATAGCCCGTTTTCAGTTACGGCCTTAAAAATCTTTTAAAGTATTTTTCTCTCAAATATACCTAGTGGTCCTTCGACGTTTTGGAATAAATTACATGTTTTAGCCCATATTTTTAAAACAGGTCTTAGAAGGTTTAGTAAATGTGCTTTACTGCACTTTTAGATTTTTATTTCTCATATGTTACTGAACACCATGGAGAGTTCTGTTTGCTATTGCTATGCGTCTTATTATTCGTCATTTGTCGTATTTGTTGTGTTTACTAGCGATCTAAAACATGTACATTCTTCGTCTTGCTCAGAGGTGCACTTGTTAATTTGAATTCTCTATTAAACATTTTGAGGGGTTTAGCAACCAACATATGGTTTTTTCCTCGTTTACAACTCCATTCAATCTAATATTTATCAACATAACTGCCTTTTCCAAGACAATAGTAAAGAGGAGTCTTGGACCATTATTAATATCAAAGGACGTAGAATTTTCTCCTTAAATTTTAACACACGAGCTTACCTTTTGCATTGTTAATTTTGCCAATTTAACTAACTTACATGGGATCCCGAAGTCTATCATTGCATTATATAGTGCAGTTCTTTTGACACTGTCGTAGGCTACTTTCAGTCAATAAAGATATGGTGTGTATATATATTATATTCTAGTGGACTTTTCAAAAATTTGCCTATTTGCGTGTATTTGTTGTATAGTTCGCTTTCCAGCAGTGAATCCGCGTTGGTAATGCCCAACAATATCTTTTGTAAAACGTTAAAGTCTCTCAAAAATTACATTACCGAATATCTTATATGCAGATATTAACAGAGAAATGCTTCTATAGTTCTTGCAATCAAGTTGGTCACTCTTTTTATGCAGCGTGTATATTATTCCTACTTTTTTCATATAAGTACTATTATAGAATATTAGAGAATATTTTCACTCTGGCCGGTCAATGATAAAGGATGTTATTAACTGCATTTTTATTGGCCTTCCGACGAAAGATTGCCGCAGACATGCAACTAAGAAACGCATAAAAAGGCCGCGCATCCTCCAATCGGGATCAATTTAGTCTACACCTTGATACCATCAAGACCAATTTGGCTAAATAGCATTTTTCAACTTTCTGCGTTTTATTTCTCACCTACATATGTGAAAACCTCATCGAACTAAGAAGACTTCACGTCGAAGAAGGTTCTACAGCCCTTGAAGACTTTGAATAAATACAAAGCCTCACGGCTGCGACATTAGTCAAACAATAGGAAGTGTGGGAACCGGCGTTTGTGACTGTTTGACTATCTTTTGTCTAGATAAAGAAAAGTCTGGCAACGGACTTGTAAGTACCTCGCAAAAGCCATCAAGCAGTTCAAAGAGAACGCTCACTGGTCAGGGAAATATCGATCCTCGAAATAGAGAAAAGATAGATTGCCTTAAACCCATTTCGAAACGTATCAAACTGCTACAGCGTTCCAATGGACCACCGACGGTTGGGAGTGAATAAAAGCCCGAGTGCACTTGGAATTACTCCTCAATCGGTAGCCGAGCAGAAGCAACACTTCGTCGCCAAACTATTCGTTGGAAATAAATAAAGGTTCTTACGGTACTTTTATTTATTATTTCACTTAGTTATTTCACACGTAATTATTTCACGAGAGGTGGCGGCACGAAACGAGCTCTTTGATATCGAGCGTGATTGCGAGAATAAATAAAAGACCCGAAGGGACTTACAATTATTTCACAATCCAGAGCTAGTCGAAGAGTTAACACTCTGCCGGCGGTCCTATACCAACCTACCACCGTTACAGGCTGAGGCTTGAGGGGCCGGAACCTCTGCGCGAAATTCGAGGCTTCTATCGTGGATAGAATACTAACCAATATCTCATGTAAGATAAATATATACATACAAACACACACACACACACACATATATATATATATATATATATATATATATATATATATATATATATACATTCAAGTACGAAACTCGAACTGATATTTTACACTGCCGGTAGCACCTTGCTGACAACAGAGCTCCCGGTGAGCTTCCCGCTGAGTGTAAGTCTCGCAGAAGTGACTATATTCGTCTACTAAACAATCATATGCTCTATTTAAAAATGTAACTACATCTCAGCTGTATGCTTAATAGCAATGAACTTTTTTCATTCTTTAAACAATAAAAATAAAAAGTTTGGACTGTGCATCCGAATTGTCTGAAATAACTATCAAGTAACAGACATCATTTAAATAACATACATGACGGTCGGTAATGTGTGAATAAGGTAAACATTTTCATATAACCATACTATGTGATTCAATTTTTATCTTTGTAGCATATCTCTGTAATAGAACGCTGGACAGAAACAATATCCATGATAATCTCACTACAAATGTTAGTTAAAAAAACTTATATATACTAACTTAGTTCTAATTGTACCTTGGTATACATCTCTGTTTTTGATAAAATTATGTGATTATATTATAGCGCCGGGTATAAAGGAATTACTTCAAAGCATGGTATATCCTAGGAAACGAAGCAGAAAAACACTTTAAAAATCGAAAAATTACTGGACACAAAAATTATTTTTCAACGAATGGACTATCGAAATGATTACTGTGACATGGTTTTTATTATCATTTAAGCAAAAAAGTGACTTTTTAGATTCATGTGAAAATACCACAAAAAAACTACGAATTATATATAAAACCGTTGAACAGACGACTTTCTTGAAAATACCTGCTCTTTTAAATTATATTATCTTAATTAAAAAGTGCTTACCATTTTTTTTTTCAAAAAGTATATTAATTTTTAATATTATAAGGCAAAAAATGGTACTTTATTCTATATCAATTATTTGTAAGTAAACAATTAAAAATTAATATACTTTTTTAAAAACATAAAAATTTGAGATCTTACGAAGAGAATGAGATAAAAAAAAGGTATTGATAAAGCACCTGTACAGCTATATGACCCTTTGGATCTCAAAAACTGTAAATATAAAAACTATAAAAAATAAAATAAACAATATTTGTATTGTTTATTTCATTAAATATAAACAATTGAAAAATGCTTATTCATTTAGAAAATACCATTTTAAAGAGAAAGAATTTTCAAGAAAGTCGTCTGTTGAACGTTTTTATATACAATGCGTAGTTTTTTCATGGTATTTTCACTGAATGCAAAGTCACTTTTCACTCGGCTCCGTTTCCTGGGGTATGATATTGTCTATTTGACGAAAACCGTTTCCACCGTCATAATATGTACAAAATGTGTAAATTAGTTAGATGGAAATGAACACAGGTACTCAAATCGGCTGATGATATATAATATCAGCAGCAGATTTTAGTCATCATCTAATCATCTTTGGCTCGACCATCCTCTGTGCATCCTGGCCTGCTCTAAGATTAGTCGCCATTCTGTTCGGTTTATGTGTTGCCATCTTCTGATCTCTAATATCGCTATGTCAGTCTCAATTCCATCTATTCGTATGATGTGTCCGGTCCATCTATGTCGTTGTGTTTTAATGAACATAAAGGCATTTGGTTCATTAAAGAGTCGGTATAATTCGAAATTAAATCTTTTGCGCCTCTGTCCTTGATCCTTTAACCCTCCAAATATTTTGCGGAGTGTCTTACGCTCAAATATTCCCAAAAGTCTTTCACCCTTCTGCGTTAGAGTCCATGTTTCCGACCCGTATTTGAGGACTGGCCGCAGCACTGTTTTGTATATAATAATTTTAGTTCTTTTTTGATATTTCTTGAGAGGAATTGTTTTTTGGGTCTATAGTATGTCCCATTTGTAAGGTTTATTTGTCTTTTAATCTCTTCGCTTGTTTTATTGGTAGTAGTAGCAGATTTTAGTACTTGTGTTAATTTCCATGTAACTATTTTACATTGCGGCGTAATGCGTCTAAAAAAAAGTTAGAACCAGCAAGTCTTTGGTCGATCCATTTCCTTTATAGTCTTCATATATGATTTCTGTGTATAAAACGCTTTCATTGATGTCTTTGGTTATATATTTTGTTGGTGTGTGTCCTGCAAATATTTTCTTTGGTTCAACTACATTCTCCAGTAGACCTTTACATTTATACTCGATTTAGAAATGCATGATAGCAGATTTTTTTTGACAGAAGATTACAGTTTTTACACTGGACTGTTCAAAGCAACAAGCTTCAGCCAGTATTTCACGCCTCAGTGGCGGAGAACATTTTACCTTTCTATCGTGAAATAGAAAAAATGTCAATAAGCACATAAATACATTTATTATATCATCATCATCACTGGCTCGACAATCCTTTTTGGGTATCGATCTGTTCTAGGATTCTTCTCTATTCTGATCTGTTTCGAATATTAAGGAGTTGATAGACCTCATTTTTAGAGTACGTGAAATTTGATTTACGTACGTATTTGTGATCAGTAATCCCAGATACAAGTATGAATTCACAACATCACATCGGTCAATCGTGCTTATGTGTGGATGTTTCTTATGTTGTTTATCTACTATCATGATTTTTGTCTTTGAAATGTTTAACTGCAGACCAAATATTTGACAATTTGATCCAGTACTGTGTTTGTATAGTTCAGTTGTTGTAATCACGTGTTGCGGTACGCCTACTTCTTTTAGTGTCCGCCATAAGTGTTGTTATTTGACCATGTCGAACTCTTTGAGATAATTTACAAAATATATGTATAAGGGGATATTGAATTTCCTGGATTTTTACATTATTTGTCTTTTATTCAAAAGGTATTTTCTTGTAGCTCTATCTTAGGTAAATCCGGTTTTACCTTGTGCTATTTATCTTACATGTGAGATTCTTATATGTGACATTATCTTCCTGGCATGTGAGATAAAGGAGATAGTTCTGTATTATTCGCTCTTATAGAAGCCTCCTTTTTTTTATCTATTGTAGATTTTATCCAGTCATTAGTCATATAATTGTAGTAATTAAACCAATTTTATTCTCGTTTTTTCTGTGGTTTTTTAATGAAGTGTTTCGTGGCATTATTTACCTTTGGTCTCCAACGGGGAACTCCTTTCGTCGATCATTTCTACTTATCTTTTTTACGATGTGGCCAAAATACGCAAGCATGATTTTTTACAGTAAATAAAAATTCAAGTTCTTTATTTATTTTAAGAAGACATCTTCGCTTCATATTCTGTCCATCTATGGTAATAAGCATGTTACGATCATACCGAATCTCAAATACCTTCAATGTTTACTCTATTATCTATGATAGTAATATAAAATGAGTAACATATTGTGATGAAGAATGTTCTGGCCTGTTCAATATGTGCACGCAGCTCTGACATATTATGCCAGTTTTCATTGAGTTGACAACCCAAATATTTATGCGATTCCCCGTTCTGCCTATTACAAATTTTATCAAAAACAGCAATTAAAATAATTGATTACTTTTTTAAATTATTGTAATATATATCAACACTTACTTGATGCGCAAGTTGATCAGCGTATGGTCTGCCCAACAAGTCAGGATGATGAAGACCCAATGGCCCCTCTCTGCTTGGAATCAATCCAGGACGTGGATAACCTGGAGCCCCAGAAGCTTAAATATGTTATTATGTGAGTATATCTTTATATTCTTCTCTTTAAACCTTTTTATAGATCAGTAAAAGAAAAAAATACACAGAAATAAGTTAAAGAGATGAAATATGAACTGTAAATGTTGATTTTGCCCAAGGATCATAGAAAAACTATTTTATCATAATTTAAAGTTATAAAACTACATTGAATTAACTTCATAACATAATAATTCATAACACATGAATATATATATATATATATATATATATATATATATACATAGAATGTTCCCATTTTATTGGTCTATATAACCAAAAGGATGATAACGGGTACGAGTACTATGTAGTGAAAAGGAGATAATACTGGGAAGTACCCTTTTATAACTGAGGAAGCAAAATAAAACTAGGGTGCTTCGTTCGATGTGCTTTTAATTAAAGGTCTAAGCTTTCGTCAATGATTATTGACATCATCAGAGTAAACCTAATTCTAGCAAGTAACTCAGTGACTTGGGTTGAACACAAAGAGAGTATTGTCTATGTATATATTAAACATAGTTGCAGAAATGGTATCCATAGTATACAATGTGTTTTTTTTTTAATTTAATTATAAACGATATATTTACTATAAATCTAACCACAAACAATTTAAAAATTTTACTAGTTTAAAAACAATCTAAAAGTAATTAACAATTATCGGCGGTGTCACTAAACTTGTTTTCTTTTTTTGAAAACAAGTTTAGTGACACCGCCGATAATTGTTAATTACTTTTAGATTGTTTTTAAACTAGTAAAATTTTTAAATTGTTTGTGGTTAGATTTATAGTAAATATATCGTTTATAATTAAATTTAAAAAAAACACATTGTATACTACGGATACCATTTCTGCAACTATGTTTAATATATACATAGACAATACTCTCTTTGTGTTCAACCCAAGTCACTGAGTTACTTGCTAGAATTAGGTTTACTCTGATGATGTCAATAATCATTGACGAAAGCTTAGACCTTTAATTAAAAGCACATCGAATGAAGCACCCTAGTTTTATTTTGCTTCCTCAGTTATAAAAGGGTACTTCCCAGTATTATCTCCTTTTCACTATATATATATATATATATATATATATATATATATATATATATATATATCGAACAGGAGGAAGATGATGAAGAAGAAGAAATTCATAACATCCCAAAATTCCTACGTATTATTCTTTTTGCACGTATGTAAGAGTTTAATGTCTAGAAGGGAAAAGGAGTGGTTTGTTGAAAGAATATGGCTGGAGAAAGCAGAGTTAGTATTGCAAATATCTGTGTCGTTGTGTTTATTAATTAATTTTAAATGTTCTGAAATACGGGTCTCTATTCTGCTGCCACTTTGTCCGATGTAAACTGCGTTACCAGAAGCATAACAAAGCTTATAAATCCAAGACTTGTGTAACATAGAAACCACATCTTTTGTATTGATTAGTGATCTAATATTCATATTGGAGTTAAAAGCTACTGGTATATTGTATTTCAAGATCTTTTAAATATAATAGGAGTGTGGACCTAGAAAATATATGGAACTAAAAAAGGATTTAGGAGCTTTTTGAGAAATCCCAGAAAAGGTGTCTGTTCTTGTTCTTGCCTGTAACAATGTAATGTTAATACCTTTACCGTAATCTATCATGGCATATAGTTTTACATTACCCTATTAGGCTTTATAAGGGAGACTTCCAACAATTGCCATTGTCCCTGTTTCGAAGTCTCTTGTTATTCAAAAGTAATATTGGTTGCCTATTAAAGATCATTTTTAAAACTAAATTCCTTTTCTAAAACACACATTTGTTTTGTAACAGCGTTTGTGTATAGTGTAAGATCCATCAATTTTTTACATAAATTCCATACCCTTTTAAGCATTAAGTATAAACTGTATTACCGAGTAGTTTTAATGCGGATTGTCAGTACAACAATGCTGCTATATTTAGCGAGAACAATTAAATTTTTTGGGACTTCCTAATAACCCACTATTAAATGGTTTTAAAAATTAATTGTGTAGTTTGGGATGTTACCTATGTTGTTAGCAAACCAGCCACTTTTCCACTTTCCTTTAAATTAGACTCCGTAAGTAGATACTTGTTTACGTTAAGAACTTTTTGTACACTTAAGTTCTTTCATAAAGTTGTGTATTCTTACGCATTTCAGATTTAGTTTCTCCTATTTGGTAAAGCTGATGGTGACAGTGATTTTAAACTGCGTCCTGAATTTTATTAAATAAATATTGCTTTTACAATTTGTCGTTTCACTTAGAGATCAGTAATGGTTATTATTTAAATCATTGTTTTAATTAATGCAGTTTTATGCATGTGAATAATTTTTGACTTTCAGTTGATAATAATACTGGCTATCAGTATGTGTGCTAGTTGTATAATAACTTCCAGTCAAAGTCTGACCAACGTATCAAAAAATTAAACCATAAATTTACTACACAGATGGGAGTTAATTAAAAGTATTTTCTTGACTAAGGGGTTAGCAACACGGCAAAACGTGTATAACAGAATGGATAAGGTTAGCGGTTAGCAAAAGTGTGTATAACATAATGGAAGTGGCGTGAAGAGAAGAAACTGAATACAAAGATATCCTGGGGCAATAACTAGAGTAATAAAAAGGAAAGAGATCCTAGAAAGGGAATGACAGCAGACACAAAACCGAAAAGTTGGAAGACACGCATGCGTGTTATCATGCTCTAAACAAGACTAGCCGCGCATGTGTAGTTAAGAAAAAAATTGTGATTCAATATATCCTTTATATATATATATATATATATATATATATATATATATATATATATATATATATATATATATATATAAAAAGCAACAAAACAAGAAGACTTCTCTTTGATGGCGAATAACGCGAACTACTAATCCAAGCTGGCTGGAAGCTATTGGACCATCTTAGGAATAACCTTTTATTCCGATAATACATCTACAGCTTACCCTTGCAAAACACCATCTTTTGCACTCTTTACGTACAGAAAAGATGTTAAAATGAAAGTAGATAATTGCATTTATTTTCAATCTGCACTCCACCATTCTTCTACACGCGCTTCGAAGTTTCACTTCTCACCAGGAAGACTTGTAGTAGCTCAAATTGAAAAAATTAATGTTAGGACACATGGAGAGTGCTCGAATTGAAAAGAAATGCAATCATCCACTTTCACTTTAATGTCTTTTCACCTTATTCGTCATCGAAGAGAATTCTCCTGACTTCTTGTTGCTTCATATAGATGTCGCTACTAGCGTACTCAGATATATGTTAGCCACATAGATAAACAGCATTTGATTTCAATTCGAGTTACCTTCCTGCCTCTCATGAACTTCCTGGTGAGATGTGAAACATCGAAACAAGTATAGACTAATGGTGGAGCTCGAATCGGAAAGAAAAAAAATGGAATAGTCTACTTTCATGTAGCGTTAGAGAAATTCTGTTGCATTGGTCATTTGTAAAGTCAACGTAAAGCTCAAGAGTCATCAAGAAACAGTTTGCACAACGATAATGAAGGACGTAAACGATGTCGGATGTAGTCAAACTGAATATCAGTGAAACTTCTACAAGTTGATTGTTCAAATCTATTGGCATTTATCCTTACTAAATGCAAATTTGACGATTTAACGTTGCGAAAAAACGTGGAAAAAACATCTAGTAATACTTATGTATGCGTTTGCTAAGCTTAATGAATAAAGATGACAATGAATATTAAAAAAATACGACAACGGATAATTTATTTTCAGCCTTTGCCGGAACCACTTTTTAAAACATGTTATGATTTATAAAAAAATTATAAAATTTGTTTATGTTGTCATGAACACTAAATATTGTCTATTACATATTTTCTATGATCCTTAAAACAAACATAAATACAAATGGTTTCCAAAACTCACCTGGTAACGGAAAACCTGCCGCAGCAGCAGCTGCCTCTTGCTGAGCCTGTTGCTGTTGAGGATGCAGATGAAGGTGTGTATGAGCATGCGTGTGAGCGTGCGTATGTGCATGGTACTCTGGTGATATACCTGCCATCTGCAGACGCACCTTCAACAAATTAAAAAACCAAGTAATAGAGATTGTTAAAAACTTGTATTTAATCTGTTTATATCTCGTAAAGTTAGTAAATAAAAATAATCGAAATAATATTTATGAAAATAAAATTTCGATCCCATAGATAATGTTTGTCTGTCCGCCAGTTTGTTCAGTCTTAGATTGAAAAAACTAATAAGATAGGGAAATATTAAAGGCGGATTCCGATTCTGTACTCAAAGTTATTAGAACAACAAATTGTCAAAACGGAAATACTCACATCCGGTTTTGAAAAAATTAATCTCACAAACGAGGATGGATATTCTTAAAAAATACGTCTAAAGATATGTCTTGGTAACTTCCGGTCATAAATTTTTTTCACTTACGCTAAAACTTTTGATACACTTTATTTCAGGATTATTTTTGATCGTTTTAGATGTAGATTTAGTTGTGGAACATGCAAAAGTTGTTAAAAATTAGAAATTCTGAAATTTACAACAATCAAATGATTTAATTTCGATCCACAACTTTGCTTTTAACATAAAAATTCCCACAGAAAAATCAATTTCGCCCCTTAACGGAATTTTGTTAAATATAGAAGTATATTCCTAAAAAGATTCTCAAACTGCGAAGAAAAATATTTTAAAAGTAAAAAACATTTCATTTATTTCGTAAAGACATTTTTTTTTGTGAAAACGAAAACAACTCGTCAAACTTTTGTATGGACTTACCATAGGATCGGTAGCCAAAGCCAAGCGTTCAGCAGCTTCCAACTGTGCTTGATGAGCAGGGTGATGAGGGTGACCTGGGGGAGGCCCACCAGGAGCACCAGGTGCAGGTGGAGGAGGTATACCAAGCCTTTCCAGACGCTCCCGTTCCATTTGGGATAAAGGTGCACTACTTCCTCCCGGATATAAGGCGAAATGGTGAAGGGGAAGACCTGCTGGTCCTAAAAAATTGTTGTAATTATATGGGATACAACAGTTTTTTTATCTAATACAGATATTTTATAAACATACCTCCTGGTCCAGCTAAGCCTGCAGCTGCATATCTCCTCTGTATTTCCAACCAGTGTGGATCCATAGGATTTGCAGGTCCCCTCATTCCCCCTTTCATTATCTCTTCCTTTATTCTGTCATTTAACTCTCTTTCCCTGAGTTCCCTAATTTCCCTTTCTCGCTTCTCCCTTTCTAGATGCTCTAACTCCAACCTTAATAAACACAAATGATATTAAAAATATATTGATAAGAACAACTTAGTGAATTTCCAAAAATCTTACACTATAATCCTGAATACAGGATTAATGACTTACCTCTCTCTAGCTCCCGGTCCGTACATACTGTTTAGTTGGTACTGTAACATTGGGTCCATAACATGAGAAGGAGGTATGAGCGATCTTGGCATGTGGCCTAAACATATTAAGAGTACAGTTAATAAATAAATATAAAAAATATTATAATATAAAATGTGGGACATTACTGAGTCGCATCGACTTTTAACAAACAATAGTTCAATTTTTTTGTTTGGCATAGTGTTTTTGTTATATGCATTATGCATGTTATATAAATGGAGATAAAAACATAAGTACTGCAAATAACACATAAGATAAAAAAATACAATCTACACTTACCAGGACTAAAACCAGCATGAGGCCTGGCATATTCAGACAGCTGCCTTAAAGCAGGTGTGTCGTTAAATCCAGGTCTAGGGAATCGTTCATAAGGCGAACTAACTGTTTCTAAAGGCCCCCTAGATGGTGGTTTGATTTCTGGTTTTTCGGGGGTAGCATTTTTTCTTTGTTGTGCTTGCTGTGCTCTTTCTCTTTCCTCTCTTTCTCTATCAGCTTGTTTTCTAAGTCGTTCTTCTCGCTTTCTAGCAAGTGTTGAATTTGGCACTGGTTTAAAAGTGAGATCAGTTCTTGTACAAGAATTATAGTCCCCGCGATTCCAGTGACGCAAAAATCTAAAACACAAACTCTTTTTTTACTATGAAGTTGGTGTGAGTGATAAATCTATTTGTCAACCGTCAGTAGTATTTATTTAAAACGTTTTATTCGTTTTCAGTGTTGCTAATCCTAACATTATCCAAATGGATAATGTACCGCATTAACTTTACTTACATTGCACTTTGACTTCTGTGACATTCAGTGTCTTCAATCCTAGGTTCTGGTGAAGGCCCCCTAGGAGGTTCTATGGGACTACTTTGTCCTTCCTCTTCTGGAGAAGGTTCAGGATCTGGTTCTACCTTGATAACTTCATCAGATACAAGTTTTGGTGGAGGGTTCATTGGGGAAGACGGTGGGTGCATATTGGCCGCTGCTTGAGCTGCATGTGCCCTTAAAGCTTCAAGTGAAGAAGGATGGTGACCCATGTTTGGAGGTTGAATCATCAAATGATGAGCATTAGCACCTTGAGGAGTGGGTGGTTTATGTATACTATGTCGTAGAAGTTGTGTACCAGGAGATAGCCGATCGTGGTGAGTATGAGTATGGTGATGGGTGTGCTGGTGACTACTGGTTGAACTTGAAGACGTATGGTTTAAACTGGCGCTTGAAGTAGTCTAAAACACAATATCGTAAAGAAATCGACTTTATAAAAAAAACTTAATCGCCTTACTTGTGACACCGGCGTATGTGGCGAACTACTCCTAACTGTTTTTTGATTGACTTTGTGCTGAACACTTTGACTTGAACTAGTGGAAGTACTGTGTGATATCGTAATGCTATGACTACTACCATAATTGTGCTTGTCAACAGTAGCGTGTACTGAGCTATTGTGTGAAGTACTCTGATGGTTTGTTAATGTCATTTCATGAGTTTGGTGCCTTTCCCCACCATTCTCATCAGATTCCCTAGTTTCTCTTTTAGAAGTTAGCGTACTGCTTGTACTATGCTGAGACGACATCAATGTAGCGCTTACGGTATCAATCGATTTTGGAGCAACACTCATGTCGTGCCGACTGGTAGGAGGGGGAACAGCATGTGGTTGAGGTACGACAGGGTAAGAGTAAGGATAAGGGAATGGATAACCAGAATATGGATGAGGCCCGTGAAAAGGCATCTGTAGAAACGAAGGATGGACCAAGTGTGGATGATGTGGAGGCATTGTACCATAAGAAGGACCGTGCGGTTGGGTTGGATGGGGTTGAGCTAAAGAAGTGGGTGGAGCTGAACTTGGACTTATTAAGTTCATTGCAGAATGGGGAGAATTTGTACCTAAAATGAGCACAATTAAGATTGCAATTTTTTTTCATATACATATTTAAAAAATAATAAAACACTTCTATCAAAGAAATGAACTTACCATGTTGACGAATAGGAGGTGGTGTTTGCTGAGCTCCTGGAGTAGGTGTGTTAGTATTGCTACTACTTTTTGGGGTTGAACACTTTTCTGATAGAGGCTTAGGACTAGGTCCAGTACTGGACGATCTAATATACTCTGGTTCTTTCTTAATATTTTCCACAGTTGGACCTGAAGGAGGACGTTCACTCCTCTCACTACTTGTTGATTGAGCGGGCTGATTGTGTTGTGGAGGTGGAATGTAACCAGGTATCTAAGAGTAAAACAACAATGTTATATATAGACAAACATATTGCATATTTTATATTCGCACTTCGCTTTTCGTTATCTTATATACTAAATATTGCCCATTTGAATGTTTTACGTATTTTGTCAATAATTACAGAAAAAATGTTAAGATATTGATGTTTTAAATTGAATAGGCAATAATGACAAAAAGTAATAACTTTTTGTTTGTAGAATGACATCTACATTGCTTTTTGTTCAAGTGTGTTGTTTTCATTAGAAAAATGTTTCATTTAAATAGCACAGATTATGTTAAAATTGTTTGTTTAGTCTAATGTAAGGTACAAAGGAGAAGATATTGCACAAATATTTATTATCTATAAATCGAATATTTCCATATAATATTATAGTAAAAAAGAATGAAGCTGGAAAATATAAAATACGGTCTGGTCAAGGTCATAAACATAGTACACAGAATAAACAAGAGTGGGGAAATGCTCTTTTTACAGACGAAAATAGAAAGTACAATTTTAAGAGACTAACGAAGGAAGTTGTGTATATAACAAATTTGCGGTTCCATTGGCTATAGTACGGCATTAATTACTGTAGTGGTACAGAGCTCCTTGAGGTAACTTGAAGAATTAATTCTGACTGGTACAAACGCAACATCTTTGAATAATAGGTTTACCATATGGCGGCTTTCTTGACTACGATAATTTTATGCTAATACGTATTATCCGAGTTCATGTATCAAGAACGGTGATCCAGTACCCTGTAGATGTCGATATTACAGCGCTTGATAAAATCACCAAATAATCCTGACGCAAATTCTGCCAAATATTTATGGCATAAACTAAAGAGAAATATATATGAGCACGAAATCTACTTTCTAACTCAATTGCACCTTTAAAAATTGCTGCACATTCGGAATGTAAACAAATTATGCAATAATTCATCAAATATCTTTTGCATAACATGACTAGCGGGATGCAAGATGCTATCAAATTAAACGTTTTAACTAGTGCTTTTAATAATTTCTCCAATAATGTTAAATTTGTAATTTATTTTTAAATAATAAAATTTCGAGTTTATTTCACTACAAAATAATTAATAACAATAAAAATTGTTAATTATAAATATTGCAAAATCAGAAATAAATAAGCTTACCTTCACATCTTTCAGACTTTGAAGAGGATCACTCATAGGCGAAGGTAGGTGGGTTGGAGGAGCTACGAAACCTCCAGAAGTTGGTATACTGGTAGGTATATTCTGTGAGCTAGGAGGTAATGCCAAACTTTGTGGAGGCTGAACAGGAGGCCCAGGATTTAGAGCAGACTGTGTGAAACTGCTCAAACCGCTTAAATGATTTGGTGGCATAGATGAACTTTGACTTTGTGGTAACTCTGGAATTTCTTGTTTGATTTTTAAGTTTTGAGGTTCATTTTGCTGGTGTTGAGGCTGATTCTTTTCTAAATTACGTGGACTTTGGGGATGTGAAAATGGCAGTCCGGTCATAAAACTATAATGGTTCATCTGTGGTGGCTGAGATCCACCTATCGTAACCAAGTTTCCAGATTGCATTAGACTTGGAAGAGGAGGTTGACCAATAGGTGCAGAATTAATTTGGACTATGTCTGGTCTTTCTGGTCTATCGATTCTTTCAGGCCTATCTACGCGTTCGGGCCTTTCTAGTTTTTCCAGTCTCTTTTCTTCTTCATAGTGATTACTTGGGGGAAGATTCTGAGACATTGGTATAACTTGAGGAATGTTCAAAGGTTGAGGATGTGCACCTACAAAGAAAAAAAAATAATAAAAATATGAATACCGGATTCTTTTTCCAGCGCATGCAATTAAGCTTACCATAAGGCTGTTGTTCATTTCTACTTTGACTAGTCAGTTCCATGGGTTCTTCACGTGGTTCCCTTGGTTCTAATTTTATAACAGTATTATTAATACTGTTAATAGTAACGGCAGTGGTAGCGTTAGGATCTTTGGGTGGTTGGTAACTAAAAGGTTCTTGTTTAATTTCAGTGTAATGATTTATTGGGCTCATATCAATCATTTGTTCTTTATGTTTTTCTTGCATTGGGTCTTTCATTATTTTTGGTGTTAAGTGATTCATCAAAGGTGGATCTTTCATACCAAAGGTGATTGGTTCTTTTATAAGGTTCTGGGGCATGAATATATTATCTTTATAAGAAGACTCTTCTTTTGGAATAGATTCGCTGTTCGAAGAATCTTCTTCTTTTAGTGGATGTATTTTGGGAATAATTAATTCTGTTTTAAACGGTTTCTCTTGCATTATTGATATTTGTTGGGGAATTTGATCTTTGAGTTGGTCCTCATTCATTTCACCTTCAACTTTAATTGGAATGTCAGGCTTTATTATCGGTTCACTTTGATATTCAGTTTGTTGGGCAAATTTCATTGCTTCTGGGTTGAATCTTACTGCTTCTTGATTAAAGCTTGAATTTTCTATATTAAATTTGACTTCCTTGGTATCAAGAGATGTATCTAGGTTTCTCTTTATAAGATTTTTACGTTCATTCATATCATCAGGTAGACGTATGGAAACATTAAGAGGCATTGGTTCGGATAAAATGCTTTTAGGTGGGTTAACAGGGTTTGTTGGCGTAACAGATGGCGATGGAATTAGGTGTTTTATATCTGGTGGCTCGGTAATGTCCTGCTTAATGGGCCCTTTGCTGAGTTGCTCCTGAGATAAGGTAGGAGTGATAGAAGATGGCGTGGATGTTGCCACCTGAAATAAAGAAAATAGTTTTGTTGGGAATTATTATGTAATTCATTAACCTAACATAAATACAGGATTAAAAATTCATTATACTTACAGAAGACACAGGTACATTGACTACAGCACTCATAGGAGTATCTGGTGTTGTCACCTCCACATTTTCAGTTTCATTATCCGGATTCTCCACATCATCATTGACAGTTTCTGAATCCGTTGTAAGACTACAAGGACTTTCAGCTCTGTCTCGTTTCTTTTTCAGCAAACCAAGTTCCCTTTCATCCATTTCATTGTCTTCTGATTTACCATCTTGAGTTCTCTTTCTAATATCTTTATTCTTATTTGGCGTTTCAGGCTTATCAGACTTTTTCTTTTTACCTGGAGTACCGGGTTGAGTGGGAGTTGTTTTTTCCGAGTTAGGATTGTTTTTAATAGGTGTTTTAGGTTCTGGTGTTTCAGTGCCACCTCTTTTTGGCCTAGCACGATTACTAGTTTGCTCTTTTGCTTTATTTCTTGTGCGCATACGTTGCGGACTTGCATCTGGGCTTTCTGCAATTTTAATTTTTATTAAGAATTATATATAAAACGTACGAAAACAATATAATATATCATCAATATACCTGCTGACGGATTATTTCCTCCAGCTGCTGGAGCTGTGACTGGAGGTAATTCATTTGTCTTTTTGTAGTGAGCCCTACAGTCGTAACACAGAAGTTGCCGATCTTTGCCTCCAGGCTGCCAATCTTTGGAATCTAACAATAAATAAATAGTGGATTAAAATTTAAAAATAAAAATATGTAAAATTAAAAATAATTGGAAATATTTTAGGAAATACATTTTTTATTTCAGTGTATGTTATTTCGTAGCTTTTGCGCAAGAGCGCAGAAACCAACATCTTTAAGAGTTGCAACGTGGAATGTTAAAAGTTTGTTCTCTGTAGGAAAACTGGATAATGCTGAACAAGAAACGAATAGACTAAACATCGATGTTTTAGGAATCAGCGATACACAATGGCCAAGATCTGGGAAATGTTCAACACGAAATGATGACGTATTTTATTACTCCGGAATCGACAACAAAACCCATCGTTATGGAATTTGAATAATCATTTCAAAGAAATGGAAAAATTCTCTGATTACCTGTACTCCTTTTTCAGAGCGATTAATATTAATACAAATTAAAGAAAGACATAACTTAATAAATCTTATTCAAGTTTATGCACCAACAGCAGATAAAGATGACAATGACATAGAACAATTCTACAATGATTTAGAAGAAATGCTGAAAACAATAAAAAAGTAACACATTAACATATTAATGGGCGATCTTAATGCCAAGGTGGGTCAAGGTAAGGTAGGAGAACAAGTAGGAACTTGTTCTTCTACAAGTTGGAGAAGAAGTGGAATTGGAAACAGAAATGACAGAGGAGATCGATTGATTCAATTTTGCCAAAGCGAAGACTCCGTAATAACAAATACCTTTTTCAAATTACCTCCTCGACGGTTATATAAATCGACATCTCCACAACATACCAAAGAAAAAATAGTAAGAAATCAAATACATAAGAAATCAAATAATAGCAAGGAGGTATCGTAATGATGTTAAATGTACTAAGACGTGCCCAGAAGATGAAAACCTCCGTTCAGTGCAGCAACAAATTAACGATACAAATAACGCTAACCAAAAATTAAAGTACATAAATACAGCTATACAAACAACAGGAAAGAAACATCTTATATAAACAACAACAAAGAATAAGGGGTGGATGACACAAGATATATTACACTTAATGGAACAAAGAAGAAAGATGAATAGCAAATGACCTAGACAAATACAAAGAAATAAACACAAAAAAGTAAAAGAGACAACAGGAAGCATAAAGAAATGCCAACTAGGTAAACTTAAAGATAAAGATGGAAATCTTATTGTAGATCTAGAGAATAAAATAAAAAGATGGACAGAATACCTGAATGAATTATTTAAAGACGATAGAAACAACTTAACTCAAATAATCAATGCAACTGGGCCAGACATACTGAAAGAAGAAGTAAAAGACGCAATAAGAAACGCTAAAAATGGAAAAGCAAATGGACCTGATGAAATTCCTACAGAACTGTTGAAGCTTTTGAATGATAAATCCGTAACCGTAATATTACATCTATTCAATACAATATACAGTACTGGTATAATACCCCAAGAATGGTTGGTGTCTACGTTTGTCACCATACCGAAGAAAACTAAGGCAATGCAATGTTCAGATCATCGAACAATCTCCTTGATGATTCATCTGCTTAAAATATTTCGTAGGTCATCCACAACCGAATCTATCAAAAGTTAGATATCGATATTAACGATACACAGATGGAATTCAGAAAAGGATTAGGTTCAAGAGAAGCTCTCGTTGCCTTAAACGTCCTAACACAGAGATGTCTAGATGTTAACCAAGAGGTAGACGCCTGCTTTATAGACTTTAAAAGGCCTTTGACAAAGTACGCCACAATAAATCCTGGAGGGTAAGAACATCGACACCAGAGACATACAAATAATATTAAATCTGTACTGGAATCAGCGAGCTAATATAAAAATAGAAGACCAAACATCGGACGAAATAGAAATACGTAGAGTAGTACGACAGGGTTGTATATTGTAACCGCTCTTGTTTAATATATACCGCGAACAAATATACCAAGAAGCTCTCTCACATACAAACGAAGGGATAATAGTCAATGGAGAAGTTATCAATAACATTTGATATGCTGACGATACTGTGATAATGGCAAGAACAGCGGAAGATCTACAACGTCTAGTTGAAAGTATGAATAAGATATATAATAACTACGGCATAAGGATGGGCGTCAAAAAAAATACAAATACTTGGGAACCCTCATCAATGTAACAGGTGACCAAAATCACGAGATTTATCACGAGACGTATTGAAATTGCCAGGTCTACCTTTACAAAAATGAAAAAAATATTTTGTAATTGTGATACAGTATACTCCTTTTATAACGAACACGGTTATTACGAGGTTTCGCTTATAACGAGGTACATTAGATGCCCCGTGAAATTTCTGTTGAACTATAACCCTCTATAGCGAGACAAATTTGGTTATAACGAGAGAATATAAGATCGAAAAACGTGTTTTTTTTACGTTTTTGGCCCGGCCGTGGCTATAAATAAATAAATACCCTTTTTAACTGTCGCCCGCAATAAACTTCTTCGCAAATTTACAATTTATGATTCATAAGTGTCAGTGTAGGGGGTTGACCATTCGCACCTAATAATAAGAACGTCTCAACAGACAAAATGTGAAAAGTGCTTTAAACGTTGTAAGAAACTATCCAAAAACAAAAGGCAAATGAAGAAGCATAGAACTGTTTTACATCTTAAGAAAATATGATATATAGAATACTGGACAATTTAAAGCAGTCAAAAATGACAGACTTCTTCCAATTTTCTTCCAATTGCAGAAGCAATAGTTTATGTTATCCCTGAAAATACGCTTTAAACAGATTTTTTTGTTTTAACGTATTTCATTGACAATAAAAGTAAACAACTTTTTTTCAAATACGCCATTCAAACAATATTTAACATCTTCTATTGCTCCGAATGGCTTCACTATAGGAAGTTAATGTTTTAGAAAACTACACATCCATATGTATGCACAGTATTATTTTTGTTTGATATAACGAGATCTGCTTATAACGAGGTAATTAGTGTGCCATTTCAGTTCTCGTTATAGAGAGGGTCTACTGTATTAGTATTCATCTACGAACTATAGATAAATTCACATTCAGATGGCAGCGTTACAGAGATAGGCCTGTACTTTCTATATGCCAGAAATAACTACATTGTTGTCAGTTTTTAATCGTACCTACAATCGTACGTTATGGGCCGGCTCCTATAAAAGAATTATAATTTCGGAAATATTTATGAATGTGAAACGGAAAAATACTACATTTTTTTAATTATATAATTTTTCTGTTGGTATTTTAAAAATAGAAAGTTATATTTCGGAAATCTGGTCTTTTCGGAATTATATCTTCTGTTCAAAATTGTTTACAATTCGTGGAAATGAAATAATTATTTGTATAATCCGTTTTTGATCTTAATGTCCTTTTAATGACACACTTTCTCTACCTGCATTTACAGTTACAGACATTAAAAAATAATTTAGAATTAAAAAAATATACCTATTTATAAATTCAAAATTATTGTCTAATGCCAGCAATTATAAATTCAGGTAAATACTTGAGAGAGTCATTAAAAGAATTTTCAGTTGATATCAGACGTTTGTGTCGTGTCAGTGTCAAAATGACCGCGAGTGTAATAAAATTCAAAAACGGTAATTTGTTAAATAGTGAATGCAAAAAAATAGTGTTAAATGTTTTTAACTATTTATCAAACAGTAATAATGATAAAAGTGTATCAACAATAGTGCGGGAAGTTTCTGCTATGACTGGAGTCTCTGAGCGAACGATATTCCGATATAGAAGTGAAAGTAAAAATGGTCCACTCGTAACTCCTATAAGAAAAAAAAAAAGAATCGGTTATTTGAATAGTCGTGAGAATAGATATGATGAAGCAACTCGGTCTAGAATAAGACAAGTAGTGCACGGTTTTTTTATGGACAATATTCCTCCAACCCTTGACGTAGTACTAGAAAAAATTAAGCAAATGGAGCATCTTCCGAATTTTTCCAAGAGTACGTTGAGAAGACTATCGCACGACATGGGTTTTACATATGGCAAACAAGGTAGAAATTCAATATTAATAGAAAAACAAGAAATAGTCGCTTGGAGGCGTCACTATCTCCGGGAAATAAAGAAACTGAGGAACGAAGGAGCCAATATCATTTATATGGACGAATCATGGGTTAATACTGGAATAACCAATGGGCAAGTATGGCAAGATACAACAATAAAAAATAGCCGACAGGCTTTCGTAAATGGACTTACCACAGGTTTAAAAACTCCGACCGGAAAAGGACCAAGATTTGTTTTAGTCCATGCAGGAAACAAAGACGGATTTGTTGAAGGTGCTGACATCACTTTTCTTGCCAAAAAAGGTGCTGAAGATTACCATGAAGAGATGGACGGAGATCTATTTGAAAAATGGTTTGAAGAGATGTTAATACCGAATCTCCCAAAAAATAAAAAGAATGTCATTATCTTGGACAATGCATCTTATCACTCTAGGAAATTAAATTTTCCCAAACAATATTGGGTGAAACGTCAAATTAAGGAGTGGCTCTATGAAAAGGACATTTATTTTGAAGAAGATTACGTAAAAAATGAACTTCTGGAAACTGCTAATGTATTTAAAAATATTTATGACAAATACAAAATTGATTGTATTGGTGAAAAATACAGGAATCACAGTGACGAACAATGCCGCGTAGATGTACATATCTTAAGACTTCCGCCTTATCACTGTGAACTGAACCCAATAGAAATGGTGTGGAATGAAGTGAAACAGTACGTGTCCTCTAAGAATTCAAGTTTCAAACAAAACGACGTTAAAACATTGATTTATGAAGGTTATGATAAAGTACAGAACAATGGACATTGGAAAAATTACGTCAACCATGTTATAAAATTGGAGAATAATTTTTGGACAGTAGACAACATTCAAGATGACATTGAACCTATTAGAATTTCATTAAACGATGACTCTGAAGATGAACTAGATTATGAAAATGAAGATGATTGAAAATTGTTTTTCGGGGCTATTCTTTTCTCAGTAAAGGTAATAAAATATTTAGTTGATCTGGTTGAAATGTAGCACACTTAAATAACTCATTAATCGACATAATTTCAAGTAGTTATATTAGACGTCATTATGCAAAAAATAAAGTTATGAACATTTAATAAATTAGTGCACAATTGAGGCCCCTAGAACACAAGGGGTGTAAGTGCCAAAAACAAAGTTTTGAAAAATCTTTGTTCAAAGTTCGATATAAATTTAAAAACCTAGGTAAAAAACCTCAGTTTTCAGCATGTTTTCAATGACATGTAATTTTTGATGGTGTTATTGTTGTTAATGTAGAAAGTTTGAAGCCAAAAGTACGTACCTGTTGTTAGATATCAGTTGCTAGATGATAAGCAACTGCACTTACACCCTTGTGTTCTAGGGGCCTCAATTAGGGGTTTTTTGCAATTATCTCAGTCATTTGTTTATGTATTTTAATTTACAAACTAAAAAATTAAAAAACTTTTTAAGATCTGGAACATTTATTTGAAACATTTTCCCTAAAATGCACGAGGAACAAAATAGGCAAAAAAATGATTTTTTCCAAACTTCATCTTTCTTTAAAAAATAAACAAAGCAAAATTGGCTGTAATTCTTCAAGGAATTATCATCAGTTATCCCTTATCTACCGTTTAGAACATTAAAAAACCTGTAGAATATTTTTCATATTTTTTTCCCTATTAACTGCAGTATTATGTATAAAAGCATTTTAGGAATTATTACCATTTATTTCATTCACGAATTTTCTATTAACAACTTTAGCTTACCTAAACATATCTTAGTTTACCGTGAGTTTGGCCCTGCTTATTTTACAAAAGTAGCAAAACTTACAATGGCAGTAGAATTGGCAACGCTGTTATCCTATATCCGTACACTGCCATCTGAACGTGACTTTATCTATAGAATGTTAAAATGCTATGTATTCAGTACTTTGCTTTACGGTGTTGAGGTATGGACTCTTAAACAAAGGAATGTTAAAAATCTTGAAAGCTTTGAGATGTGGTGCTACCGCCGTATACTAAAAATAAGTTGGGTGGATAAAATTACAAATGATCCAGAATATCCAGAAATAAATAACGATCCAGAAGTTATACTGAATATAAAAAAGAGAAAACTTTACTTAGGCCACCTGATGAGAGGACAAAAGTACACATTCCTACAAAATATAATGCAAGGAAAAATCCAGGGACGCTGAAATCCAGGCCGTAGAAGAATGTCCTGGATGAGAAATTTAAGAGAGTGGTTTGGCTGTAACACTAACGAATTATTCACAACAGCAGTAAATAAAATTAGAATCGTCCTAATGATATCCAATCTCCATTAGGAGACGCACTCAAAGAAAAATAATGTTATTTCGTTACTTTGAATCCAGATCCAGTCTATAAGCGGAATAAATAAATTCCCTCATGTCAGGAAACAACAAAATTCTCAAAATTCAGCGTTACTACTAAGTTTCGCGAAAGATGTTTTCGCGAGGCTTAATTCATAATACCATAAAATTTTTTTAATGTGTTTCTATGGAGTCCAATGTCCTTTTTATATGATTTTTCAAAAAGGTGTTTGTAACTTTTATAAAAACAGGAAAAATTGTGGAGTTTTCCAAAAAAGGGATCTCTCTCGAGTAGTGGTGCTTTTTGAAACTTTTTTAACTGTAAGTTAAAAATTGTCAACCTTAAATTAGTTACTTATATTAGTGTTCTGTTGTAACCTAGCTCTAAGGATGACTTTGTAAGCCGAAAGCGCTCAACTAGGAATTAAATTTTTATACATATCAAAAATACTTTTTCTTTTACTCAACGCTAAGCTTAATCAATTTTGGAAGAATAACAGTGTCAACAGCCTTAAAGTCTAGGAATATGTAATGTTAGTCTATGTCATACTCCAAGACAAAGCTAAGAGATTTGCAGAACGGTACTCGGAAAACATCACCAACAGACTAAGCAACCAAAATGTAAATGAAGAAGACCAGACAGAAAGATGCTTACCCGAAAAAACTAGAAGAACTGTAGAGAATTACCAAACAAAAAGAAGAGAAGAAAAGGGGATAGAAAAAAGACAAAAACGAAACCACTTATAAGGAACTGAAATATATAGAAAACCTCAATAGAGAGAAAGAATTCAGAGCATTGTATAAGGGAGTTAACATTAACAGAAAAGAATTCAAGGCAACCACAAGACAATACAGAAGTCAGAATTGCCACCTATTAACAAGGAAAGGTGTATTAAATAGATGGGTGGCATACTTTAACCAGGAACTTGAAGTAAAAGATGCAGTTGAAAAACCAGCTAGAAAAAAATCAGTCGGAATAGATAATCTCCCAGCTGAACTATATAAAGAAGGTGGCCACGATAACAGCTATAAAAGAAATATGGACACAGAAATCCCTCCCCAATGATTGGAATATTTGAATACTTTGCTCCATTCACAAAAAAGGAGATACCTTTGAATGCTCTAACCACAGAGTAATTACGCTTCTAAATGCAGCGTACAAAATATTTTCCACAGTACTATTTCACTGTATGGCACTACATACAGAATGAATATTAGGAAAATAGCAGGCTGGTTTCCTGAAACAAATTTTAGAAAAAACACTGGAATATGGCACTGAAACTTATCACATATTTAGAGAATACAAAGCACCCTACCACTCTGTGAATAGAAGAGAAATGTTCAAAGTAATGAAAGAGCTAGGAATACCAAATAAGTTGGCAAAATTAACAAAAGTCTTGAAAAAGTTGAATGTAGAGTACGAATTCAAGTGGAACTGTCTGAACCTTTTAAAACTAATAACGGGCTGCGCCAGCTCTCTTCTGTATACTGTTCAATCTGGCTCTGGAAAAATTAATACGTAGGTCACAAATCACAACCATTGGTTCAATATATAATAAATCAGTGCAAATTCTTGCCTATGCTGATATCAATATTGTTGGTAGAACGGAAAACGCTGTACGAGAGGCATATGTAGCATTAAAAGAATCAGCTACAAAAATGGGTTTAATAATAAACACAAACAAAACGAAGTATATAAAAATAAGCAAGCAGCCACAAATCCTACGACCACTTGTTATAGAAGCAGTGAACGAATTTGCATACCTGGGAGCGCTCCTTAACACTGAAAATAATACTACCGCAGAATTTGCAGGACCAACAGATGCTATTTTGGGCCAAATCTCCTCCTTAAATCCACAATTATATCAAGAAATACAAAAATAAAAACTCTACAAAACAATAATAAGTCTAAAGAAAATGCAAAAAAGTATTTTTGAAGTGTGTATATTTTATGCAATTCCTAGCTGAGCGCTTTCGGCTTTACAAAGCCATCATCAGAGCTATGGTCAATTTTTTAAATACCACTACAAAGGAGAGATCTCATTTCCTTAAATTTCAAAAATATGATTTTGTAGGAGTTGGAATTATTAAAACATATAAAAAACATATAAAAAGTCGACACTGGACTTCACAAACACGTTAAAAAATTGAAAAAATTTTTGTCATGGTACGGGTTTAAAACCCGACCATTGATTGATGTGAGGACGTAGACTGAATAGTCTACTATTCAGCCCTATTCAGTCTACGTCCTCACATCAATCAATGGTCGGGTTTTAAACCCGTACCATGACAAAAATTTTTTCAATTTTTTAACGTGTTTGTGAAGTCCAGTGTCGACTTTTTATATGTTTTTTATATGTTTTAATAATTCCAACTCCTACAAAATCATATTTTTGAAATTTAAGGAAATGAGATCTCTCCTTTGTAGTGGTATTTAAAAAATTGACCATAGCTCTGATGATGGCTTTGTAAAGCCGAAAGCGCTCAGCTAGGAATTGCATAAAATATACACACTTCAAAAATACTTTTTTGCATTTTCTTTAGACTTGTCATAAGTGTGTACAAAAAAAATATCAGTCTTTTGAAAACAATAATAGGCTCAGTCCTAACATATGGTTCAGAGACTTTAACTCTAACAAAAAGTAATGAAAACATGTTACGATATTTCGAAAGAAAAATTCTAAGGCGAATCTATGGAGCAGTGAATGACAATGGAGTGTGAAGAAGAAGATTACAACTTCGAGCTTTATATAATATACCAGGCACGAGATATCGTAAAACATTAAGATAGGACGTCTGAGGTGGATAGGGCATGTAATCTGGATGGAACAAAGTGACCCAGCTAGAAAAATCCTCCTAGATAGACCCATTGGTAAGAGACGAAGAGGAAGACCCAGAACAAGGTTCCTTGATAGCATCGATAAAGACATGAGAAATATGGGAATACGTGTTTGGCGGAGGAAGGCGATGGATAGGGACGACCGGAAAGAAATTCTTGAGGAGGCTAGGACCCACTCAGGGTTGTAAAGCCAGAATAATGATGATGAATAATGCGAAACAAATTTTGTTTGATATTCACTTCGATATATTATGAGGTTATATGATCGTGATGAACAAGTAGAAAAGTTTACATATTGTAAACCTTTTCTCTGAATACTAACAACGATATACTGGGAATATCTGTAAAAAGAACAAAAACTACGAATAGACAAATACTAGTGATTAATAAATACCTGTTTTACTGTGTGAACAAACCTACGTTAATAAATTTTTTTAACTTACTTGTTGTAAAGCAATGCGAACATCGATACTGTGCGTCCCGACTGTCGCTATCATCTTCGCTATCATTATCATCTTCCGTTACAGAACTGGTTTCACCAGGTTCTTTTCCAGGTTGAGGTGAAGGTCTATTGTTTTCTGCCTCTGGAGCAACGTTTCGTCCTAGAAATTCAGCAAATGTAACACTAAAGCATTTTAACTGTAAATAACTATCATTGTTAAGACATTCGGCGTAAATAGTCACATTACGGAATAAAGTATAAACTTTACATAATAAGAATTATTCTAGAATTGTTTATAAAGATCGTGGAAAATATTGACGCACTAGACGTTCAATAACATAATTATTGAACGCAATTAAGCATATATTGAAGATTATCAGTAAAGTAAAGAAAAGCAGAACGTAGATTAAATAAAATTGATTTGTTTAGTCAGTAATACTGGCGGTTGGTACATGAGGGCTACGGATCTTTAGAACAACCAGAATACTGTTAGAGAGGCAACCCACACCTCGCAACACGCCCACACTTGCATCACTGTGTGGTGGGAGCAAGATATTTAACTGATATCTGATCATCAGATATTTAACAATTTAATTGTTTTAACGTGGACGTGAAAAAAATAAACGCACTCTACCAACACAATGAAGCACGCGAATTATACACAAACGCAACACATTCAAATCTTTACGACTTTAGCTAAGACACAATTCTGGTTAATAATACGCGATGCTAGAACATATAGAGGACTAAGTGAGTGCTTAGTACTTCCTCAAAACTAATATAATATTCTCAATAAGGAAAACAGTAGAACCAGAAGACACTGTACAAGAAGAAATAACTAAAGAAAGAAAATCTAATCTTGACATTACAGAAGATGAGTAAGATTATACATAAATAGATGGAAAACTAAAAATTTAGAAGAAATCACTCCATTAGAGCAATCCTCCTTCTCAGGCCTAATACCTTTTGGGAAGTGGTGACACCATAAGGCCTTTACAGTTTTTTCACGATTTCCCTCCACCCTTCTCTTGGTTAATCAATATTTTTGTTTGATCTACCTAACGGCTTGGAGATCTTCCCCTAGGTATCTTTCCTTCAACTCTACCCTCGACTATCAGTTTTTCTATCGTACCTGTTCTTCTAACAATGTGTCCAAAATACTGCAAATATCTGTTGTATTTGTTTAAGTAATCTATCTTTTACTTTAAGTTGTTCTAACATTTCGAAAGAAAAGTTCTAAGACGAATCTATGGAATCTAATCGTTAGTGCGATGATCAATCCAGGATATTCTCAACATGCGGCGGTATACCCACATTTTAAAAGCATCCAGTTTATTTTTATCCGCTTTCTTTAAGGTCCACGTTTCGGATGCATATGTGGCTATGGGAAAAATGAGCGCCCTTACCAGCCTTTTTTTAATATGCACATACATTTTTAATATGTTCTTTACAACTGGCGTTGTTTTCCTGCCCCTAGTTTCCATTTCAGTTAAATTGTATTTATTTCATAGCTTCATCTCATCTTCTCGCCAGCTTCTTCCTGGACGGGTTCATTCTGTTTGCTTGACCAAACCAAGTTAATTGATTCTTTTGGACTTCTGTTTTGCAATATTTTTCATTTTATCTGTTCATTGCTGATTCTATCCATCCTTGTCCAATCTACAACTTCTCATAAAGTCCATCTCAGTGTCTTCTTTTCCTCTAAAATGAAATACGTGTCCTTATTTATTAAGAGTAACATCTCCTCTTCGTCTTATTTCGCTGATGCCGATGATGTCCCATTTTATTCTTTTCAGCTCCTTTCAGTTCCATCATCTTCTGGTCTGATATAAGAATTCTAACATAGTATAAAGTAATACGCACTTGTGGCTATTTGTAGTAGTCTTGATTTTTTCCAGGGATTCTTAGCACCGTCTGTTCCAACCGCTAACGGGGTGTTGGAGCCGCCGGAGACTGTGGGCCGTTCAGTAGTTTCTTATTTCATAGAAAAAAAAAAACGCACGAAGCGTAATTAATTTATTATTTTTTGTGGGAATAAACCACAATTTTAGTTTAAAATATGTATATTTATTTTGAAGTATCGACTTCCACTTCGGAAATCCTTCTCAAAATCAAATTTCCGAAGTGGAAATCTAAACATCAATATAAATATATTTTAAACTAAAATTGTAGTTTATTTCCAGTAAAAATAGTAAACTGTATTAAAATGCGACAAGAACGTAATTTCAGAACAATATTAAGAGACATAGACATACAGGTTAGCAGAGAAATATCCTCGGAACTCTGAAGAAGACATAAAAGAGGATGTTGAAAGCTCGGCGTAATGATAATCGACTAAAGCCGTCACTAGTACGAGTAATATTTCAAACATAAGAATTAGCGTTATAATATTACAGTTTGTACGAATAAAATTTAAAGATACAATAAATTCATTTTTAAGTCTTAAACAATGATAGTTCTTTACAACAAAAATATAAACCGTTAGTTCTGTTAGTATTCAACTCTAATTTGACTAACTAATACTGATCTACACTAAGAAAACACACAGCTTTTCAGAAATTTGAGAATATTAAAAATTTGTAATATCCAAATTTCTTGCTGTATGTTTGTGGTGGCCTAAGACATTAAATTTGATCAAAAATATAAATAAGGCCCTACTATATCGATAATACATGCTTGTGTTATTGATTAAAATCAAAATACTCTGTTTTAAAATACTCGTTGCTTGTCTAAAGGAGGTCGCGTTTGTGGTACCAAATATAATACATATTTCTAACATATTCACTGAATAAGCTCACTTCTTTCTTAATTATGTGTGTGTGTGTGTGTTTTATTGGCACTGGTTTTGACAACCAACTGGCCAGTCAATTTGTTTTAAGTTCTCTCTTTACAAAAGATATTGTTAGTATTTACATTTAGAACTATTGTATTGTATTGACAGTTAAAACATGGAATGTTAGAAACTTATTTACTAGATTACTCTGATTTTGCTGTTTTGTTTTTTGTTTTTTCTTATCTTTTTTTTATTTTTTATTTTTTTTTTATTTATTTTTTTTTTATTTTTTTTTATTTTTTTCTATTTATTTTTTTTTATTTTCTTTTATTTATTTTTTTTTATTTATTTTTTTTATTACTACGCTAAGACATAAACCCGATTCGACACCTCGGAGGTTTAGATCTTCTTAGTATTTTTTTTTTATTTTGTTCTTCATTTTTTTTTATTCTTTATTATTTTTTTTATCAGAGCTTTAATTTTAAACAATTAATATGACTATATAAAATTTTATATACATCTAGATTTTTTGACTCTAAAAGATGTGTTAGATTAGAAGGTAATTGAACATTAACTTGAACTAGCTTGGTAAAAAAATTTGATATTTCAATAAAATGTAAAGGACATTCTAAGAGCATATGTTGTAGATCAGCTAGCTCTCCACATATACATTCATTATTATTTGCCAGTCCCATTTTTCTTTTGTAGACTGGAGTCATACAATGATTGCTTCTTATTCTACAAATAGTTTTGATGAAGCCTCTGTTGGAAACTTGTTTAAACCATGTCTTGACGGAAATTTTGGGTTGGATTATTTTATAAAATTTGCCTTTGTCCGAATTGTTGTAGTATCCCTGCCATTTGATCCGTTTAAGAGACCTGATTACAGATATTAAATCTCCCATAGGAAGTTGATAGGTTTGAAGAGTGGATTCTTTCATTGTTGCTTTTTTTGCCAGATCATCTACTATTTCGTTGTTTTTTATACCAATATGTGCTTTTATCCAGCACAATATGATATTTTTGCCCGATTTCAAAGCTTCACTGTTCAGTGCTATAATGTCACTGATGATATAATTGTCTACAAAAGTATGAAAATTATATTTCAGTTTATGTACAATGCTTTGGCAGTCTGTAAATATAACATAGTTTAGTTCTTTTTGATTCATACATATTTTGTAGGCTTCTTTGACTGCTATGAGTTCAGCTGTAAAAGTTGTCATTTTGTCGGGTAATCTGTTGTTTATCTTTATACTTTTTTGGGGGTAGAATATAGCATATCCAACTTTGCCGTCCATTTTTGAACCATCTGTATATAATTTTTGATAACTTCCCCAATGACTTTGTACATACTGAAGGTGATCTATTTTAGTAAGAAAATCTGTGGCAAGAATATTACTTAAATGGCAGTTAAATGGAGATAAATAATCTTCATAGTTTAATTTTCGAGATGAGGGTTGTTCCATTTTGCATATGTCGTCAATATAACAAGAAACGTTGAGAAAACTTTCCACAACTAAAAGCTGCTTCTTTTTTTCCCAGTAATGATGAGTTAGGTATGTAGTGGTTAATTGTACAATTTTATTTAACAACAGTTTATTGTTAACTGCCACTTTAACTATAAATTTTTCACTTAAGAATTCTCTGCGTAATGAAAGTGGAGGTTCATTAAGCTCACATTCCATGACCAATATGGGAGTACTACGAAGATAACCAGTGCTTAATCTAAGTGCCTTATTTTTTATACTTTCGATTTTTTGGAGTACAGCGTTTGATGCTGAGCCATAAAATATAGATCCGTAATCTAGGATCGATCTCATTAAATTTCTGTATAGTAATATTGAGATGTTTGGATCAGCTCCCCAGTTACTGACATTTACAGTCTTGATGATATTCATTGCGTTTTCCGTTCTTCTTAATATATAATTCGTGTGTTCTTTCCAATTCAATTTTGAGTCTAAGAACACGCCAAGGAATTTTATTGAAGTTTTATAATTAATTTTATAATTATCAAATTGTAGGTGGTTTGGGGGAGAATAACGTTTTCTGGTAAAAGTAACAATGGTTGATTTACTCTCCGAGATTGTTAAATTCTTATCCGCCGCCCATTTTTTTATAATATTCAATCCTAATTTAAGGTTTTCATTACATTTATCTATTGACTTATTTTCTACATAGATTGCAACATCATCAGCATACTGTAAGATTTTTATGTGTCGAGGAAGTTTATTTTCTAAATCAGCAGTATACAGAATATATAATAGAGGACTCAAGATGCTACCTTGTGGTAGTCCTAAAGATGTGTACCGTGTGTTAGATTTATCACCATTTAATCTAACGTGTACTGATCGATTAATATACAAATTAATGATATTCCATGTTACAGT